GGATTCGGATCGGGTTTGATCCGAAAATCGTAAAATAGTTTTTCGTTAATAACTTTTATTTTTACTAAGACACTTGTATTTTGTGTCTAAGTAGAGTTGTTCGGAATGTAATTGTGTATATGCCCACAAATTTTCGTTTAATTCCAATTAATATTGAACGAAAAATAACGTTTTTTAGGCTGACCCGAATTATTTCGGGTCGGATTTGACCCCAATCCGACCCGGTTGGAGCACTAGCGGAGATGCGGGGTGCTGTTTACTTTCTCCTTTTTTACCTTGTCGTGTTATTAAATATTTTCCAAAAAGCTTTGGTGTGAGACGGTATCGGTATATGTATGTTGAGACAATTATCACTATACATTGCACGGATTACAGAGATTCAGGGAACAAAAAATATGGGTATATTACCTTAATCCTTCATGTGAATATTGGAACAATCGCATTAGTGGAGCTAGTACACTTACTTTCACTAGTCAAAAAATTTAGTCACGTGAGTGCGATACTTTTTTTCAAGAAAAATTTGATCGCATATATATTTATTTTCCACACGAAAAAAAATGGATCGTTATTTCATAACATACTTTTTTATTGATAATATAGTACACGCAATCTATCCGATAATTGGCATTTCTTATGGAATGACCATCTTCTAGAATCATAATATCTATCTGGTGGAAAATATTTATCCGAATATCCAAATCGAATAAAAACTCCCATATATTTAACATACATATAATCAGAATTCGGCATACCTAGAAATTTTTTTTCATCAATTATCCTTTCTTATTCATTCCAAACTTGAGATGCCAATGATAATCATCAAATTTACCTGCAGGATAAGATGCATATAGACAATGTACATGATACATGCTCTTTTTCCCTCATGGATCAACTTTTGGAGAGGAATTCGAACATGAATAGCCCACTGCTTGAGAGTTCATCTGGCTTAATACTTAAGTATCATATCACCTTTCAGTTTCAAAAAGTCGCTCAAATTTGTCACCATAATAACCACAATAGTTAGAATAAAAGTGTCGAATTTCTTTCATATCATAACCAGGTCTAATGCATTTTTGGAACTTAGTGATTTGATACATATTTAGCAATCTATATCAAGTTTAAGAGTTATAGCAAATTATGACTTATATGTAAAATATCGATTAATTTTTTGTTAGAATCATCTTAATATATTATTAGGGCTTGAGCAAAAAAAATATTGTAAAAAATCGTTACTCAAATAAAAATCACGTGCCAAGAAAACTTTTGGAAAAAATTATTAGTTATCAAGAATCATATGCCCATACAATATAATAAATATACAACGCAAAACACTCCGGCAATCACATTTTATTATCACATTTTTTTCTTCTGATACACACCCACACGGCACCGTATATACGTTTACACATTAAAAATTCAAAGCCCGATATGGGCGGAACTTTATTAAAATGTATCTTCATTATTTTTACGAAAAATAGTTGTGACTTAGCACTGTGATTCAAATGCTTATTACCAACTTATGTGTCCTGAGAATGAATCACGCAGAAAACTGATGAGCAATTACATAAAAAATATGCTCACCACTTTTCTACTATTATAATTTATGCTGATTATTAACTATAATATAATGTCATCATATATAACAAATAGAACGCAAATTAAAAACATTTATATATTAGACCAAATGGGAGAGCTACCTGGATCGTTATCTGCACAAGTAGCTGTGATACCTTTTTTGTGTTTATCTTTTTGCGGAGGAAATGTGTGATGGGAGAATACCAGAAAGATTAGACACATTCATATCTGAATCGTTATGTTCTTCTTGTAGTTTATAAATGACTTCGGCAACTTCCAGCAACCAACACTATTGGTTGAGAAGATAAGTTGATGACAAAGCATGGCAGAACAAACATTAGTCAAAAGAAGGTACATTACCCTGAGATCCCACAAGACAATAACAAATCGAAGACATATTTTCGCTCTTCCTCAAAACAGATAGGAACGGTTGCCTTATGTGTCCGTTCGTATTGTAGAACTCCACAAGACAGAACAGACATCCTCCATAATTCAATCAGATTCTCTATGAAATGCAAAGGTTAGAGTAACAAATTACAGAAGCAAATTTTAAGAAAAACTCTGTTAAACACCTGCCATAAGTGTGCAGAGAAAAGGCACTTATTCTTGAGAATGTTTCACACGAAGCTCCTCGAAATCGCTCTCCGATCTCTTCCAGCTTATAAGCATTTCCGATTGGCAACTTGCAGCAACCATCTCATGTTGATCTAGAGAGATCTTTATGTCCGTACCCACCGCTCATTTCTAAATGTCCAACCTCGACAGTAGATTTCTTTAACCGTACGAGAAAGACTCTATCTGCTTTTTGTTCAAACGCTGTGATGCACTTGCGTCTCTCACGGCATGATTTAACTGAAGACAAGACAGGATTATCTCTCCTCTTGAGTAAAAGTACAAATGCGTAAGTAACTATCAATAGAATTTCCACAAATGAAGATCAAGGCTACTCACATATGATAATGCAAGCTTTTTTCAAAACCGAAAAGCACACCTTTCAGGGAAGGATGAATAACATAACCTCCATAGTCCGATTCCGATACGTCTGATTGTTGCATCACTGAAGACATCCTGGTGACTATAAGGAAAAAGTTTAGCGGATGAAAAATTGGCAAGTCATAACAAATGATACTTACAATATAGATAAAATTTGATAAAAAAATTTGTGAAAGGGTCTTGAAGAGGAAACATCACGCAGGTTATTTTGAGCTCCTCTAAGAGAAGCTTTCATTAATATTATTCAAAAGCTGAACTTCCTCTATGCCTTGTATTAAGGATTCAAGTGATTTCTATTACAAAAGCGTAATTTTAGAATTCTTCAAAAGTAAAATGGAGAACTAGTATAAAAAGGAAGACATACTAGTCTTAGAAGCTTAGATATGATTTCTAGACGATTAGAAATAGTTACACGTCTTGTATACTTTTGAATCTCCGAAAAATTTTCACTGCTACACCAATCCGGTTTCGCAATTTTAAAACTACACTGAATGATTCTCCAGACTTCAGATCTAAAATTAAATAATTAGCATTGGCAGTTACAAATACTAATTAATAATCATAATCTACCTGAGAGGATGTCCTTTTTTATGAGCATATTTAGCCAAAAGATCAGCCACAACCACACCAAATTTTAGTTTTCAAGTTTCCATGCAAGTGTATTTAGTTTTACAAGTTGTTCAGTATCTGCTTTATCTAATAATTTTTCTTTGGTATATTACTATGAATTTTTCCACAGGTTTGGCAGATATGATCTTGAATTGGTCCAGTTTTTCTTTGTGTTATTTGTTGTTTGACAGATCTTTTAGGAGTAACTATATATTTATTACTCAGCAATAACCAAGGGATACTAGCAGTATTACTATTTTTACTACTGATTTGTGATCAGGTATCAGAATAAATGTTGTTGTTATTTGTAGTTTTTGATAGTTCTCTATAGTTAGAAGTGAAATTATGTTCTGGAATATTATCATTATTATGAGTTTTTTTCTTTGTCTTTTGTTGGTGTTTGAATTATTTTAATATCTTCTTCATCATCTGTGTCAGTGAGATTAATAATGTATTTTTCTTTAGAAATAATAGATTTTTCTTCAGAATTACAAGTATTACAATCATTATAAGAGAATCTTTTACAATTTCTATACCAATAACAGAAACATAGATAAAGAGTATCTTGTCAATTTTAAAATTTTCTTCCATTTTATTTTCATATTAATAATTCTTGTGACTTCTATACATAACTAATATTACTTTTTACAATGTGGTGATGTTTTTTAATCTTTAATGTATAAATATGTAATATTGCTTTTCACAATGTGATGATGTTTTTCAATCTTTTAATATATAAACATGTAATATCTGACTAAGTTGTTCTCAAATAATTCTTCTAGGATAATAGAATTTAAAATAATGATATTGTTATTCCAGTTCTTTTAACAGTATTTATATAGCAGAAGGTCTTTAACAGGTTTCTTCTTACAGTTATAAGAGGAGATAGTGGATCAAGTTAAGTTTATTATTAAGAAAGTTATACGTTATAATTA